GGTGACCAGCTCTACATGCTCCTGGGTTGGGGGGTGGTGACCAGCCCTACATACTCCTGGGTTGGGGGATGGTGACCAGCGCTACATACTCCTGGGTTGGGGGATGGTGACCAGCTCTACATACTCCTGGGTTGGGGGGTGGTGACCAGCCCTACATACTCCTGGGTTGGGGGATGGTGACCAGCTGTACATACTGCTGGGTTGGGGGGCAGTGCCCAGCTCTACGTACACCTGGGTTGGGGGCGAGGTCTCAGCTAGGGCTTCACTGAGACCTTGGGGCCAAGGACTAATAGAGTGAGTTGTGTTTTCACACAACCCCCCCCCCCCCCCATAGCTCCTAGTGTGTATAAAGCGGCCGAGATCCAAGGCCAGTCACTAGTAAGGACTTTAAGGGTCTTTGCTGACTGCTCATAGTGATGCCGTATCATTCCTTCATTATTCCTTCTCTTGCTACTCTGTCCTTAGATGCCCTAATCGCCTTATTAAAGATTTACAGGAAAAGGATGTATTTACCCATGGCCAGGATACAGTATTCCAACGAATATGCCAGTTTGCCTCTAACAAATCTGACTGGCTGCTTTCTTTGTCCAAAACGTTAAACAGATTACTGAGCATCTTCTACATTCCTGACTAAGCCGGGGATTTACCTTTGTTTCAGTTGCTTTGGTGTGTTATTCAGCATATGCACATATGTCATATCATGCCCATGTAGCTTATCATCTTAGTACAGTGGTGCGTTCTGCCTTTTAACAAGGTGCCCACAGTCTTACAGACTCTCAGTCTGTTCCTCAGACTTTGGGTCGGCCCATTTGTGACCTGAGATGCGTCCTGCACAACAGTACAGTTTTTAATGGACTAAAGCCTCTTCCACCCAAAAATTGATTCTATTCTCTCTCTCTCTCCCTCCTCTCGCTTCCTCTCTCCCTGCCAGTGATGGCATTCCCTTCCATGATCTTCGGCCTCCTCCTCCTCTCCCTTGTGGGCGGTGGCTTCTCAGAAGATGAGGCTTCGCCTCGTGGCTGCGGCTCCTTCCTGAAGAGGCCCTTCACCGCGCTGTGCGACCTGGACGCGGTGTGGGGCGTGGCGGCGGAGGCGGCGGCGGGCGGGGCGGCCCTGGCCTCGCTCGTCATGGTCCTGGTGCTGCTGTGCCGCCTGCGGCGAATCGCAGAACCTGAGAAGCGCAGCGGGGTGGCGCCGCTGCTCCTGCTGCTGGCCGCCATCGTCGGGCTCTGCGCCCTCAGCTTTGCGTACCTCATCGAGCTAGATGAGCGCCTCTGTATCATCCGGCGCTCCCTCTGGGGGGCGCTGTTCGCCATGTGCTTTGCCTGCCTGGTGACCCAGGGTGTACGGCTGCGCCGGTTGGTGCGCGGCGCCCGCAGTCCCGGCGGCTGTGCCCTGGCGGGGCTGGCGGTGGGCTTGGCCACGGTGCAGGGTATCATCGCCGCAGAGTGGATCCTGTTGACGGTGGTGCGTCAGGGCCAGCAGGCCTGTCAGTATCAGCCGCTGGACTTCGCCTTGGCCTGCACCTATGTGCTGGTCCTGCTCGTCGCGTCCCTGGTGGCTGCGGCCTGCGGCCTGTGCGGGGAGCAGTCACAGTGGAAATGCAACGCTGCATGGCTGCTCGCCACCTGCATCGCCTCCGTGCTGCTGTGGGCCGCCTGGCTGATCTTCTATCTCTACGGCAACGTGGCTCTCGGCCTGTCCTCCACCTGGGACGACCCGGCTCAGGCAGTGGTGCTGGTGGCGCAGGCCTGGCTGCTGCTGCTGCTCCACGCCGTCCCCGAGGCCCACGCTTGCCTGCGTCCCGCCCCGCAGCCTTCGGGTCCCGATTACTTTGACACCTCGCAGGCTCCACCCCGCCTGAGGGAGGCCAGCTTCGATGAGGACATTCCCCTGTCCCACCGGCAGTTTGGGGAGAACCAGGGCTTCTCGTTCGAAGACAGTAACACAGGTACGACGCTTTAATTTGACCACTTTGACCTCCTGTGTTAGTGTGTGTTTGAGAGGGAGCACAGCCCTCACGATATCCTGCCGCCCCCACATGTAGCTCGTTCCGGAAGTCAGCGGAACGGCAACACAGGAACAAGGCCCAGCGCCCCCTTTCGCAGCAACGTCTACCAGCCCACTGAGATGACCATGATCCTAAATGGTGGTGCGGTGAGTACAGCTCCTCCTTCAGCAGCTCACACACACACACACACACGCTGAAGTGACCCCAACACTGAACTGAAAATACGGGTTTGATCTACAGGCCTTTCCTTGTTACTTGCTACTCACCTGCCCCGAGCCTAAACACCATGACTGCAGGTCCCATCAGAACCGGGTTGCACCCCCATCAGTGTAAATCACATCACGCTGTGCACATCTGTAACCCCACTAACATCCCAATCGAAAATTTCAAGTGTCACCAGCGAACTGCTCATGCTGTCACTAAATACCCATCTCTCTCCCGTAGGTGCCGTCCGCACCCCCAACCTATACGGGCCGGCAGCTTTGGTGAGCGCTGGCATGGAGGGGGGGGGGGGGGGGGGGGGGGCGGGGGCAGGAGACTAGAGGTCTGTCTCCAGGATTCTGCGTTTCAGCTAAAGGACATTTGCGTCTGTCATTTTCTGCTGTTGTTGTTGTTTTCTGAGGCTTCGATACCAACCGACACTCCTGCTCATGGAGAAATCCAGGAGTGGCAGAGAGCCCCTCTGTGACATTAAGTAATGGACAGACTGCGGCGGCCCACTGGGGGAAGGACAGGAAGGAATTTGCACCTATAAATATATATATTAGTTGTTTAAAATATATATGATCAGCTGTGGAACTGGTGTGTTTTTTTTTTTTAGCTAAAGGATTAAACAAACTTTTAATTGTTATTCCTCATACCATACATGAGATTCTCTAATATCGATTTGTATTTTATATCATGTAATATGATTTACTAAAGCTTTAATTTTATTTAGTATTATAACAATATAGATCCAGAACTACGAAGAGCGGCATCCGTGCAGGAGTGTGACAGTATGATCCCCCTGCGACTGGCAGGACTCTGATGTGCGTCAGTGTGTGTTTGACATGCTGACTTTGGACTTTATAACTCCAGTTTCAGATGCTTTCCTCAGAGGTCCCACATTAATGGACATGGACCTGCAGGAGAACCAGTGAATTTAGACCTTGATTTTGCAAACCAGACTATTTGTAGCCCGGATGAGAATCCATATCAACTTTTTTGACCAGAGGAAGAAAGATCATTTTATTGTGTTTGGTTAAGTGGGAAAAATAAGAAAAATTCACCACCTCACCATCTAATAGTGTATTTAAAAACATTCAGAAAATGTCCGAGGTTTAATTAGTGTATATACACCCTTGGTATTTTCTTTGCGTTTTCCCACCACACCACAGGCATTGTGATCTGAATGGTCTTGCAGATGTTGATTACATAAAAATCAAGGTGCCCCCACAGGCTGGAAGTCCCCCCCCCCATTTGGAAAGACATTCTTCTGGCACTATAGTGGTGACAGATAGTTGGTTGTGAGCACCTCCCCCATCAGACCATCTCTGACTGGGACTGCGACGGCTTGACGTTTGTGGGCCTGGAGGGGTCTGGGGGCAGCTGTGCAGTAACAGCAGGCACTCAGGGACCGGCGGGGAAGGAGGTGAGCTGTCAGTCTAGGTCCCGCTCCTCTGTGTCCAGGGACTGTAGGCTTTAAAATGCGAAAGTGGAGCGCGGCCGGGCTTCCTCGACCCCATGCCCATTGAAAAGCTCCACTCTCACTGGGGGAGGGGACGGCCCCCCTTCGTGTCTCTGTCATAACAGAGTCGCTCTGGTGGCTGGTTTCTAGCTGGGCCCTGAGGCTTCATGAAGGAGCGAGCGCTCCAAAAGCGGTGGCAGCGCTGAGGGCACCCGTGGGAGTGTCCGCCGCCCAACCTCAGCCATCGTGTTTGACCACCCTGAGGAAAAAGCTGGGTGTCCTCGCTAAATAGTGTCACTACTGTGCCAAGAGGGAGCCCTTGATCAGAAAGGGCCCTGTGCATCCTGGAATGCCCGTAGTAGAGTCTGGAGGATGCATCTCCCCTTCAGCTCAGTCGTGATGGTAAAATACTTTTTCTTTTTTTACAAAATATGCTAATATGAATCAGTTTTTTTAATGTGTGAATGGATTTATTCAGTTAGGTTAAATGTCTGGCTTGATTGCAGGTTTTTTTTTGTAAAAGATATTTAAAAGTTCGTAAAACAATTTGATATAATATCTCTAGGCTTGTATTGGAATTTATTGAACTGTGATTATTTTTAAAAATATTATCTCGATACTTCTGGGAAAGACCCAGCTGATTCCCAGCGTGGCCTGTCTGGCTATGTGTAGTCACTCAGCCACTGGTCAGACCTTTCACTCTACTGTTACAGATTTTGAGAAATTTTACAATGTGGGTGTTATAGCTATATCGAGATGATTGTTCTATTTCGCACTTTATAAAGGGTATAACAGAATCTGGATATATATGAAGTAAGGGGCTGTCCCTGTCCTCAGTCAGAACAGAAAAAAGGGAAAGGCCACATGAGTCACAGGAATCACGGAAGACGTGCTGTTGAGTTCAGACCACTTTAGATATCATGATACAGATTCACAGAGGTGGGAACAAGGCATTGATTCTCAAATAACAAGTAAGGATTATTCACA